CGCCGCGCATTTACCTTCAGAGTATATTCAACTTTTTAGCGTAGCTTGCCGATGTGTTACTTTTTCCTCGGCCAACTATCGTTTGCTGCTGAATTAAATTCCGTCTATGCGACTCTCCGTGAATCCCTCCGCCGTACGAAAGCTAGGTCGTCCGAGACCTTAGTTACCGCATTCCTCCCGCCTGAACGGAACGTTTTTCCTTCGTCCCCCAAGTTTACCAGGTATCCGATCTTGTACAGCCATTCATTCGGATAGTCCGTCTTCCCGATGAATCCCGGTACCGTTTTCTCGCTTCTTGCTGGCCCGGCCAAGGATCTTCCTACCGATCCATCCGATCGTTCGTTCGCTGATTCGCGAACGGAGCCGGGGAATACGCTCGGAAATTCCGGGGATCCCGTCCATTGTCACCGTTCGCGATTTTACGGTTTCCCGCGACGAGTCCCGAGGGCGTTTCATTTATCCCGTCTCGATTTCTAGCCAGGAGTCCTTCGTTTTCGCGTAAATCGAATGCCGCGGACTCGCCTCTCGAAGAAAGAGCAAGCCTCGCCGAAAAAAACGGGACGAGCTTAATCAACGGTTAAGAGAACATAAAATCCCAGCTACGATTTAAAAGTCTCGAAAGGCCATGGAGTGCCGGTGCAATATGTGTCTTGTCTGCACTCGAGTGTTACGTATACGTACACGATCGTGTTGGTTCATTCACCTGCTGCGTGGCTCGCTCTCCTGCGTTCCCCGTGCCTCCTCTCTTGGCTTCTTTCGTTCAGTCTGTCTGGCTCCCTTCATTATACTCCGCCGTATTAATCCTTGAACCGTAGATCTCGATTACCGATCCACGGAGTTCCGAAGGAAATCCGGCGGAGTGTGAATCTCGAATGGAAAACATTCCGAAACTTCGGTGCCATTTTCCATCGGATACTTTTCGATCGTCAACTACAATAGAACTTGAATTAACCGTTTCATCGAGCGACTAACTGCCTAGACGAGTATAGACTAAACTGAAAATTTCAATCGCCGAGTTTCCGGATAAAACTCTGAACCATTGATATCGCGAGAAATAGCGACACGATCGATCGTAGTCCTACCGCGGTTTGGCAATAAATCGTCGACCACGTTGGTAGCTAACTGCCATTAAGCTCGAAGGAGCGACTCGGCACGGTCGTCTAGGAAGCCCCACAGCTCGAGCACTCGGCTCGGCCAGATGGAAAAATCTAGAGAATGTCGAAGCCGTCAACCAGTTTCAAGAACTCACCGCGACCGCGACCAGAGAGGAGAGTGTGCAACTTGGCTCGCGCGGACTCACCTTGGTTTTATTCTTATTCTTATTGGTTCTGGCTAGCGCGGCCAGCTCTACGATCGTCGGTTTTCGAGTCGACGCGACACGTTAACCAGCTGCTAACCATGGATAAATAAGGTAAGCGGTTCCCGCTTTTGTTGCAGAAACCTAGCGATCGGCATCGGCATCCAGAATTTCCCGGAGGGATTGGCGGTGTCTTTGCCCCTGCAGGCCGCCGGAATTAGTACCTTGAAGAGCTTCTGGTTCGGCCAGCTCTCGGGGATGGTCGAGCCTCTCGCCGGCGTCCTTGGTGCAGCCGGAGTCTCGCTCGCTGAACCTGCGCTACCTTATGCACTTGCCTTCGCGGCCGGTGCAATGATCTACGTCGTGATCGACGACATCGTCCCGGAAGCGCATTCGGGGTACGTTGCTAGCTACTTACTAAACACCTTTGGTAATTCCCGTAGAAGCTCCGATCATTCGATAACTGTCTGCTTATATCAAGCTTTTAACTGGCCCGCTGCTTTCTTCGCTAGCCGTTGTTCCTTATTCCTCGTTTCCACGTTCCGCCGCAAATTTTCATTAACCTTTAACGCTGCCTCCGCGACCGAACGGTACCCGACCATAGTTCACGATCCATATTTAATGGATTATCGCCTGGAATCTCGATTGAATCGAACATTTTTCTGTTCAACTCGGTAGCGAATTTTTACTAGTAAATTGGCGAAAGTAATCGCCGCGTAAAGATCGGGAATCGACGTCGTCGCGGACGAAACGAATTCTATCCTCGTGTGCCGATCGAACGGACGAGCGGCGCGATGTTTGCGTAAAGAGGCAGAGTCGAAAGAGGATGTCTATCGTCGCGTCTACGGAGGTAGCCGCGCGTACACGACGTATTCGGGAACGATTACGGTACAATGGCGCGTGACGGCAGCGGTGTAGTTAGCGCGGCGTCGGCAAAACGGACGTAGCGAATTTCTTTCCCAGGGCCCGACGGTCTAGCTGAAGGCGCATTGTCATTATAATTGGCTTCTTTTGTATTTCGTGCGATCTAAACCGCCCTGCCCGGATACCCGTGTGTACCGTATGCACGAGCGCGACGCTCCTGAGATAGTAGACCGAGGTCCGCTCCCTCGGGAACCCTCCGGGGCCCCGGAAAACACAAAAGTGAAAATGGATCCCCCCTGTACGGGTGAACCGTTGCTCGACCTCCAAGAAGCGACCGGCGTTTCTTTCCTCCGTTCGTGCGCGCGAGCCGTGTGATCTTTTCCAAAAGAGAGAGAAAGAGAAAGAGCCAGATGGAGACCGAGGAGGAGAAAAAGACAGAGAGAGAGAGAAGGATCGAGGGAAGAGGCTAACAATGCTAGCGCTCGCTTTGCTTTCTGGTTTAGCGGGGCGACGACCAAGTTTCTACGGGGAAAGGCGAAACGTTGGCCGCGGACGGCGACGCAGCGAGATCCATTCGCGCGGCTAAGATCGAACGATATCAGAGGCGCGAAAGGGACAAGGACGAGAGAAAGTTTGCGAGATCCGGGAATCGGCTAGGTTTTCGAAACAGGAGACCTACGGCTAAGAAGAGAGGAAAGTGTAGAGAGAAAAGGAGAGAGAGAGAGAGTTGTAGGCTGTTTTAGAAGTAAACTATGGAGATGACAAGTTGCCAGAGGAATGTCCAATCGATGTCTTATAATCTCATCAATGCTGCTGATAGAACGATGATCGCGTCTTTTTCAGACGTACTTTTCATTCTGGTCGAAATTGTCGCATCTATAGATTCACGAAGAGCTATTATAGCGTGAAAGATGGACAAATGGAACTAGACAACTGTCATCTTTGCGCTGTACACTTCCCGATTTCGGAATCGAATTTTTCCTCGGCAACAAGGTCTAGCCTCACCGTAGCCGCACGTTGGGCCACCGAATTCTTAGAACCCGAGGTCGGTCCCCGAGTCATTTGCATGGCTCTGTGCTCGGTGAAAAGGAATGCCTCCTCGTTTCAGACCTCGTGGTATTCCAGTTAAAAGCGATCGCCTACTTTCCTCTCGAGAGCGAGATCGGAACCAAAAGGGGACGACGAGCCTGGCTTAGCTTCCGTTCCGTTCGCGAGATAAGTCGTGTTCCTTCCCCTCCGATCGTGCGCGATAATTCGACGGTGCACACGGATAGACGCGGAATTGGCTAGGGTTCCGACGTAGGGACATACTAGAGCTGTTACTCGTGAGCAGACTGAGAGTCTTGTGCGTTGATCAGAAAAATTACATAGAATACAGAGCATAGATACCGTTGTCTTCAATTGATTTTAAACTGTGCCTTTATCTTCATACAAAAATACGAAGTCTACGTTTTCCGATGATAGATTCAATCAACTTTGAACTGACTCTAGTGTCGACTATTCCATAAGATAAACTAGACACCCGTATATTTAAACACTTTACGATACAGCCAAGTAATTTCTCCGAGTAATTAATATGTACTCGAGTACCTCGCGTACCTGATAAAAGGTACCAGCTCTAATGCACGCCTTCTTTCGTCAATGCCGAGCCTCTGATTACCGGGACGCGCGCAACTCGTTCCCGAGTGGACACAACGGTGTCCGTCGCGCCCCGGTCTTTTGTAGGCGCGCGCGATGAGACAGGGTAATGGCTAATAAAAATACAAATTTCTGAGGCATACCGAAAGGAGGTATTTACCGCGCGGATATGATTGATGTGGTAGAACGCCCACCGAAACACAACAGCGCATTTCACCGGCCGTTAAAATTGATGGCCGTGTATAATTTACGAAATCAACAAGCCGTGACGTGCAATACCGGGTACGCTCGTGTGTGCATATGTGTACGTGTACGCTTTGTGTGTGCTTAATCCCTACTTATGCCGCGAAAACCCTTTTATTTCTCACCGTTCCGATATTTCTCCTCTTTCTGGACGTTGTTACGGCTGTGCTACCCGAATGGATCCCA